AACGAGCGCCACAACATTCGGGTTGTGTGGATTAGGGTAAAAGACGGCATTAAACCCGCTTGAAAAGGGGTATGGTAAATTGGCGAAGCCTGGGTGACTCGCAAGAGGAATCGTACGATGTGACACCACAGTACTGTGCTCAACGTCCAATTCAATAAAATTTTTACCGCAAAACAGCAGGCAAAATGTCCCATCTGGGAGCAGCGGCAAAATACAGTGTTTTTTCAACCAACCACGAGTGGAAGAGGAGGCAAAGACGGCCCCAGGAGCGAGTGATTTGAGGAGTTCAGTGGGCTCACGAAGAAGATGCGGTGCTGTGATGCTGACTTTGGTTGACTCCTGCGGAGAGTGTGGGATGCAGGGATCTAGCGGAATAGTTCCAAGCACGCGCAAAACCTCATACCATAGGAGTCGTACCAAGCCCGTGGTTACAGGCAAACGGGACAGGAAACGCAGCCGCCAAAAACGAGCGGCATGTGCTTCACCCCAACAAGTAGCAGTGACATAAGGTGAGAGGAGGAAACGCGTGTGTGTAATGTACACGATGCCGTCATCACTGCTCTCAACCACAGCCATAATCGGCGCAACACGAAGCACTCGAGGGTCTAAGCGTGTAGTATCCAGCACAGCCACAAGAACACCAAAGCTAACAGGGTGTGTGGGGCCATAATCCACCTCTACCACCTGCGGTGGATAATCAAGCATGCTCTCTTCGGTTTGAACAAAAATAACTTCCTCACACAGTAGCGATGACGCAATGCATTTAATATCCCGTCGAGTGAGACACAAGAGATCATCCAATTCTTCGCGCTTCCGCGTAAGTGTGCTGGTAATTGCCTTCATCTGATGTCTTGCATGGCGCAGGCTATTCAAAACAACTCCACAGCGATTGCACTCCGCAACCAGAACCTGTTTGCAAACACCATGCAGGGCAGCCGTGGTCATCTGCTGTAACGCTTGTGGGAGGTGTGAGAAAGAGGATGCGGGAATTGTCTGCAACTCCTCGGGTGTCAACGCTGTCGCAGACGAAGCAAAGCTGCACAGAGTTGCCAAACGACCATCCCGTCCAATCAACATGACCCTCGCCTTCTCTACTTGGGCCGAATCTTTTCTTACCGCCTCAGAAGCGCCTTCCTTATTCGCCCCCTTTGCCTGCTCGTCGCACGCCAGTGTCTCTTCGGCACGCCAAAGCAATGTCGTCATGGGCCCGTAAGGAAACAGGCTGGCGAGAGTCGAGCCAAAGGTTGGAAAGTTCTGCTCACTTGTCTTATCGTCCCCAACGCGTCTCACACCACCAACAGCTCGCCGCTGCTCAAAGTCAAAGACCACATACATAAGCTGTGAGAAAAAAAAGGCGTAAGAAGTGTTGGGGATTGGCACAGCCGCGTCAATCCTGTGAAGGAACTCCGGCGGCAACGCCGCAAACTGTCTGTGAAGTCGCAGCTTAAATGGACCCCCCGTGCGGGTCTGCAAGTACGCGTCCCACTCAATCCACTGCTCACCACAGAAGAAGTACACCGTACGCGGATTCACTGGCGAGTTCAACGCGCAGTCAAAACCGGTGGTAAAGGGAAGACTGCTCGCAAAATGGTTCGCCGATATGGGGCGCAGAGGCTCTGTAAGGGTGTTATTTTTGACATGGATGCAACAGGTGTGGTCCTTGATGAAAAATATGGCATAATCCGCCAATTTCCCATCCGCCTCTGTGAGGCGGACGGAGTGCCACGGATGACCAACAAGCGACAGGGGAACAAAGTCACTTTCTCCCGCCATGGATCGCGCCGTAAAACTCGCGGCAGAACCGGCTGTGAAGGAGTAACGGACAAATGAGTGGCTTTCCTTTCGACTGGAGCGGCGTTGCTCCTTAATCGACTCTCGACGCTCCCTTATCGTCGACCAGCGGTTTTCCAGCTTGTCAAGGAACGCGTCCCGTGCGTCTTTGTTTGACTTTTTCTCTGGTGCCGTCTTGGGCGATCGCTTTGCCACGGTCTTCCTCACCGGGCGCGGTTCAGGAGGATGCGACGCCGCCCTCACAATTGGCTTTTTATTGGCTCTCAACGGCGTCCACTCGATGCGGGCCTGTCGTCGCTGGAGGTCGACAAATGACAGACGCTCAGCATTCCTCTGCAGCAGCACAGGAAGTGGCGGATACTGCGCGAGTTGATTGACGAGCGCATACGCCCACTCCATCGACTTCAAGCCCAGTACTTCATGAATGTAGAAAAGCAGCAGTGAACGGGCGTTGTCCATGAAAACAATTTGCCGCAGCGTCTTCAAGAGCGCTATCTGCGTCTCCGACACCTCGCGATCACAGCCGCGGTAGATGAAAAAGATCGGGGGAGGAAGGCGGCAAAGGGCCTCACACACAACCTTGGTGCACGCAAGTCGGTGCCGCGTTCGCCAGTTGAGGGCCTCCAGGCAGAAGTGATACAACCCTTGCAGCAGTGGGAGCTGTTCCACCAACTGCGTGGCCTGCTTTGGAAGCACCCGTGCGGCGTAGAGGCCTTGTCGATGGCCCCTTGCCGCCATGTATGCGCCGGCGTCAATGAAAATGTACGCAGCACCGGTGGCGCACAGGTTAAAAATCCCACGTGGAATGTAAAAAAAACCCTTGTTGCCAACCCGTGACCCAAAGTTGCCTTGACAGATGAGGTAGAGGGCGTTGTCGATGTTCGCCTGACCGACAACCTTAAAGGTCGTCAGAAAACACCGCCGCAACGTTGACTCGTTCGGCACCACACCCCCTGGAAACGCAAGCCACTCCAGGGAGAACTTCATAGTGACTAGTACCGAGCGTCGTTGACTTCGGAACGCCCAGAGAGCCGACCGTGCATTGTCAAAAAGGTTTCCGTGTGGTCCGTCAATGTCGTAGAAGCCTTGCCGTCGTCGAGAGAAGGCGACACGGACAATTTTGTTTAAATCAGCATGATCATGCCATTTTTCCCATGACACGTAGGAATGGCGTGGAGGTCGTTTTTTCCGTCGATCAAAGGGCCCAAAACTAGCAGGCAAACACCCAGCGAGTTGCACGGCCTCACACGCATGACGCAGTTCCATTCCCAACGCGCGAGGAGGCAGCTTTGCGAGGTATCGACCAAACGCAAAGATCATATAGGGGTCAATGGCTACGCCATCCATGTCGGACATGACACTCGCAACCGTCACTGCACAGCAGGTATCTTCCTCGGCGGTCTCGTCAATGTACGCCGCGGAGAAGTTAAGGATGGCAAAGTCGTCGCTAGGCAAATAGGTGAGGGAAACATCGAGGGAAGACACTGTCGGGTCGCTTCTTTGATCGCCGGCTAGCAAAACTCCACCGTAGCCGTAGATACCGAACCGCACAAGATGTATCACACACTTCTCGGAGCAGGGCCGCATATCTGTATACTGGAGCAGCAACTTTATCAGACGGAGCAACGCTGATGGACGCAGCGTGGAACCATCCTCAATGTCCTGACAAACACGACGCATCGCCTGCAATCCCCCATTCGGAAGACAGACGGCATGAGCTCCACATATGGTGCAGTTTTCTAACACGCCGCCAGACGCCTTTTTCCTCTGACTTTCATCCTCATCCTCGCTGTAGTCGCTGCCGTCGTCGTAGCCGTTCCCGCCATGAATGGATTTGCTCCGTAAACCTTCCCCCGCACGTACAGTATCCTTGCCCCGTGCCACTGCAAGTCCCCTAAGAGTTGTTTTGGGCATGTCTTCCGCACACCGCCGAAGAATGGGATTCTTTGGGTACACAGTCTTCTCATCGGAAAAACACTCGCACACTACGGCACGCACTGCGGTGAGGATATCCCTCGTGAGCTGCATTCGGCACTCACCAGAGCATACAAATAAGACACCATCACCCGCCTCACAGCAGGCCAAAATACAACGCAGCATAACTTGAAGCGCCACCTCTGTTGTGGCAGGCAACATGCTGTTTAATTCACATCCAAGGGAGAGAAGAAGACGACTCTCAATTCCTTGATCCGGGGAGTGAATGACGGGCCTGTTACACACCAGACACCGCGAGGCCAAGATCCTCAGTTCCGCATTGGCAAAACATTGCTTCTGAATGTAGAGATACTTTGGTGTGTCCTCGTCCAGGAGAATCTCCTTCACGCAGGGGTTCTGCACAGCGAGGGTGAGAAGTCGGCGAGCTGCGGCCACCGTCAACGAAACACCCCGCAGATCGATCTTTCTAAGCGTTTCATGCGATGCAAACGTTTTCTGCATCAAACCGACGTCATCGGTGCTGACTTCGCAGTTTCGCATGGACAACTCCACCACTGGTAGCCGCTGCAACGTGGAGAGGATGGGAACAATTCCCCGCTCACCCAGGTAGCCGTTCTCAAAGTCAAACACAGTGACTCCAGCCAGCAGCTGCCGCACAAAGGCGTTGTTGGGGTACACCCCATGGCTCCTGCACTGTTCTCGGTAAAAGGCCTCGGAGGCGGCAGGCGCCAAGTGTGAGCGCCCCAGGGAGTCGCCAAAGCCTACATCCTGCGTGGTATGGGAGAGTGATGCCTGGGTGTCTAGTGGGGGTTTCACAGGAGAATCCATTCACTCTTTTTTTTCCTTTTCTTTTGTCTTCCTGTAATGTTCTTCTCTTTCTCTCCACCTCCCCTCGACGAGCGTGCGCTGTGCTCCTCACCTCTCTCTTCTGCAAACAAGGAAACAATAGCAAGAAACGACAGGAAATAAAGTTCGTGATAAAGTGATAACCCGATTTTCCTGGCGCAGCCAAAGCAGTTGAAGGAGTGCCACAAGAGAGTGAGCAATCAACCACTCGTCTCTCCCCACTGTTTACACCTCCATTTGCCTCCCCGCTCCCACGACGCCGCATCAACTGGCACAGCGCCACTAAACAACGGGTGACCCCACAGCACTTCCCAGCCTATTGATATCCAACACCTCGCGAATGCTTACCGTCTTAACAGAGAGCCATTGCCATTACGTTGAGAATCAGCTGTAAGTGGGAGTCTCAAGGGTGCGGCGTTCATTCCCTTCCGGAACCTGAAAGTTTTGCGTCTTGGGTACCTCGTGTGCGTTCCCTCCTCCTCCCCCGACGGTGCCGCCTCTTCCACTCGCTGCGGCCGCGGCTCAGCAGAACGAATCTTGGCGCCGCACAGCAAGTTGGCCGGAAAGAGTAACCTCGACCTCATTGTGGCACCGAGCAAAGGCTCCCGCGAGCAAAAAAAAAAAATACGGCTCGCACAGGCGGGGACCCTGCACGGCGCCTCCCAAGTCTCGCTTCACACAACGCAGCCGGAACCCCAGCGGCTTCGCTGGGGCCACTGCGGCGGTGTGTGACGCTCGCAAGACCCAATCACCTGAATCGGGCAACGCCTCACTCATCGTGGCCCTCACGCATCCACGTGACACCGCGACGAGCTGCGTGCCGACCCACGATGCTTCTGAACAGGCGGCACCGCCGAATGAGACGCCTGAAATTCAAACGCAAAGGGACGCTCAACCCTCCCAGCCGGAAGGGCTCCATCTCGCAGCGGCAGCGTGTAGTCTGAGGTTCTTTCATCAGTTGCAGTGGCCTACTGTTGCCAAGCGCGAGAAAACTCAAGCCATTTACTCCAATTTGGGACCTGTAGGGCCAATACCTCTCCCTCTCCCCCCCCCCAAATAAAACACATTCAAATCGATGGCGACCAAGCTGAATGGAGTTGCGTGGGTCACCACGGCGCGGTCGGCAACCGTTTCGGCGGGTTGTGGCCTTTTTCCTCCATAACGCATGCAGAGAGGGGCGCTCTCTGCTGGATTCCCGAACACCACCGGCGCCGCCCTTCCCTTCCTGTCGACGGCGCGTGCAGAGATAAGCAGGGGGAGGAAGCGTCCCAGAGGAGGAAAAAAACGCAAGAGTCGCATCGCCCTCAGGCCCCGTTGCTCTTTTTGGTTTTATTTTATTTGTTTTACTCCCCTTCTCTCAGTCCCTCACACCGTCCAAGGCTCAACACCAACAACAGCCGTGGAGACAGTCGCGTTGTGCCTGTGCCTGTGCCTGTGCCCGCGCCTTCCCCCTCGCCAGAACGGACGCCTACCAGCATGCGTCCTTCCCGCACGCGCGCCTTTTTTTTCACACACACGCAGAAAAGAAGAATCGCAATGACGTCAATCATCAGGGGCCGTCGAGTTGGACACGACGCGGGTGGCGGCGACGAACACCCACCAGAAAAGCAAAAAAAAAAACAACAACAACGACCGCCACGCAGCACCATGGCGACAACACAAAAAGGCAGAAAGCGAGTTCCAAAGCAAAGAAACAACCAAAGAAGAAAGTCTTCGCGCAACAACACAGTGGGTGTATGGACAAAAAAAACGCAACACAAGCAACAAAAAACAACAACGACAACAACAACAAGATACAACAGTTTCCTCTTTTTTTTTGTTATCTTACCCTCGTTTATGTTTTTTGTTTTTAATTGATCTCTCCACTTCCTCCTCGTTTCTGACCGCCCATCCCGTCTCCTCTTTTCTTCTTCCCTTCTTCCAAGGTTCCTTCTCTTCCCACCTCACCTCATCTGCACTTCTGATGCGTCTCTCATCGACGTTTGCTTTGGTTGCTTAATCACAGGGCCATCTTCTCGACGCCCGGCACTCGTTGCACTCCATTTACGCCCAAGCAACAACAACACACACACGTGTGCGCGGGTGTGTGTGCATGCAGGTTGGTATTTGTTCCACAGCCCCGTTTTTTTTTTCTTAAACACAGTCGATTGAGCGACAGCACAACGGCGTCAAGAGCCCCCGGTTTTCTTCTGATGGGCATCGTCGCTACACGTGTCGCAGTTGTCAGAACTCCTCGAGGAGCCCGTTTGGGGCGAGTCTGTCAGGTCGGCAAACGGCCAAGTCTGCCGTGCCAGGTAGGAGGTGACCATGGATTCCACCACCGCGACCACAACTGCCGAGATCGCCTCGGCAGAGCTCTCGGGGATCATCACGGAGAACCCGGCGATGTACGCCCGCAGCAGCATCTGAAACGGAATCATCGCCAGAACGCGTTTCGTGCGGCAACGTTCACTCCCAAGTTTTCTTCTCCGGCAGTACAACTTCACGAGTGTGAGGGTGACAGACGGCACCTGCCACGCAAAGAAGTCCATGTTCCAGTCCGAGTCCGATGAAAAAGCGTACATGGCGTACGTGGCGAAGTTGCCGGGTGAAAACCTGTCCAGCAGAGAGAGCGTGTCGGACCACCCTGTCATGGTGTAGTCCAAAATGAAGCGTGGTGTCGTCACGGCGGCAAGGTAGCGCACGGGGCAGACAATCACAGAGGCGCCTATTTCCATCCCCAGCGACGCCACGTACGGCAGTGGCTCCCGCTCCCACATCGCGAGGGAGCCTTCTCTGCGAAGCACATACTTTGAAAAGACCCCGCAGCCCACATAGTACGCCGCCGAATACAAACAGAGACGCATGACAGACCCACATAGGAGACGCGCCGTCTCTACCCGTGCATTGATGGGGGGAAGAAACTCCATGTCATCTAAGTTGCCCCTTGGCTCTCAGAACACCAGAATAGTAACAACAGAAACACGCAGGCACACGAGAGTAGCAACCGCCGAGCGCCTCCGGCTCACCCGCCTTTTTTCGTTTATTATTACTACTGCAACCTTCACACACTGCGGAGGAGGAAAGACGTCAAAGAGTGTGACGTGAAGAGCGAGGGGGAGAAAAAAAAGAGCCACAGGTCCGCCTTTGACACGACGACATACTACACCATTTAAGCAGAACAGGCACATACAGGACCACCGTTCGTGCCTTTTTTTTTAGAATTCTATAAGATCCACGTCACCAATTAGGCGGTTAATGACCAAACAGATTTCATCAGGGGGCAGTGAACGGCGGCACCTTCGACAGCGGAAGTTTAATGGTGGGGGAAACCAACAGGAACGGCTTTGGAAGACTCCCCGACGCGGGAGAAAGAAACGAAAAAAACTTCTTTCCAATCTCTAGTAGGACTATAAAGCCAGCAATGTTAGCCTCATCCACAGACTCCAGAGAATCCGACCAGGAAACGGCAGCCAAACTCAACGGCGCCACCTCCTGCCAGGAAATCACCTCAAGGGTCAGCGCATTGAGAAACTGCACATCCTTTACAAAGGCAACACCCCGGTAGGGTGACAAGGGCGTTCGTAGTGTGCCTTTAAAATAAGTCACCAACTGCGTCACGCGTGACTCACTGAGCTGTGATGGTCCGCGCTCAAACAAGTGCGGCTGCCTTGGATACCTGAGAAGTGTGATGCTGCGGCCCACCACAGCCTTCCGTACTTCCTCCGCGAGATCCTCCTCCGACCCGCAGACAACCACGTGCGTGATGGAGAAGACCGAAACCAGTTCGAATAGGACGTCTCGCCCAATGCCTGTGGTCCACCCCATTGTATTCACTATGATTCCGCCTACTGCGTACTGGGGTTTCGAGATACAGACTGAGGCAATGGCCTGCGCGGTAGAGGCACAGATGTCCAAGTACCGTTTTCGCGAAGACGCATTGACGCTTTTGTCACCAAAGAAAAAGGCCAAGGGCATCATAGTGTTGAATCCATCATCCACGGGTATGTAGTGTTCTATAAATGCAGTGGCAATACTACCCGAACAAGCGATGCCTTGCTGTCCGACATCTGCGTCGACAAGTGCAACACAAAATTTCCCATCGGTGGTTGCCAAATTCGCAAGAGCTCGACAGAGGCTACTTTTACCGGTATTTTGATTCCCAATGACGAGAACACGAGGTCCTCGTAGCCCCTCGTCGTGGGTGTCGCGCGACACATCATTGCCCATAATGGCCTCCGTCCGTGCAAGATCCAACACGGCGTGTAGATCGTCAATCGCAGAGCTAAGGAGATCGACCGTGGCCGTGAAGTCTCCCTCCACATGCACACGACACGTCAGTGGAGACGCCACCGGTATACCACACTGAGAGAAGTTATAACGCACATTCCGCTTCAGGGGGGCGCCGTAGACGGAGGCCGCGCCATCAACGAGGACAATACACCCCGACCCGGTGAAGTGGAGGCTCAGCTCACTGCGCTCAAGCTCAAAATGCGCATGCTGAATACCCCCCTCCATGCGTTGGTCGCACTCTCCCCACAGCCACCTTTCCCTTTATACCAAGCGACGTCATAATTCACAGCATGCAAAGATAAAATTGAGCAATAGGCGAAATAGCAACAGGAAATATAATGGAGAAGCGTTGTAACTCAATAGTGCAAACCAACGCAAAAAATTCCCCCCTCCTTCAAAAGGGAGGAGAATAAAAATTCTTGATGTTTGGTTCCATTTATTTTGTTATATATGTATATATATTTCCTTTTCGGACTCGTTCCCATTTTTCGACTAGCACCAGAGGCAATGATCACACCGTTGTCTCAGGAAAGCAGCTTCAGTTTTCCAGTGATAGGGTTCAGTGCCGCAGACGGTGCTGGGCCAACCGCCACCAGCACTCCCATCTGCTCTGCACTGTATTCCTCGGCCAGGGGCGTGGTGCCGTGCCACGGAAGACCACCCGCCTCCGCGGCAAGTGCGACCTTTCGAAGTGTGTCGCTATCAGGGGATTTAAGCGTGATTTTAGTGCATCCCACACGTCTCCACCAGTCGTACCACGCTTTCCACTCCTCGTGCTCCCTATCGCCTTGTATTTTCTGCACCAGGCTCACAGCAGCCCCGGCGGAGAGAGCGCAGATGTCGTTCGTAGTCACTGCCTTTACATCTCGTCTAATGACGAGCACCATTTTTAGCTGAAGCTCCTCCATGCGTTCAAACTCACTGTCGTACCCAGAGGTGTCTTCCTCCTCCTCCTCTTCCTCGGCCTCAGTACTCCATTCCTCCTCCTCTTCTTCCTGTCCAGCCGCAGAAGTGAAAGGCGGCGGCTGCGGTTGCGGTGGCAGGGTAGGCGGCTGCTTATTCCCCTCCGCAGATGAGCCAGAGGGAATGCGAGTTCCCAGTAATCCTCTTTGCCATCGGCGGAGGAGCCAGTCAAGCGCAACAACCGTTACACAGCCAAGAAAAAAGCCCAACAGACTAAGCGTGAGTGTCCCCACAACATCGCCGGTCGTCTGCGTCTCTCCGTTGGTGTACATTTGACCTCCTCCCGCTGCGTAACGAGAGGCACGAACTAGAAATAAGAAGGAACAACAAACAACAAGAATAATAATTACGCCATCATCGTAACTTGTTCTGCAACCCCCCCCCCCCACTGGAGCAGCCGATCTAAAACAGAAGACCCAACGTGCACCTATGGTGATCAATGCTGAGCGTTTTTTTTTCTTCCTTCTACAAGCAAACAAACGTTCACATGAAAGACAACAAAGACAACCAGAAGATATCCCCAGGACAACTTTTGTGTACATGCTGGGCCAAAGTGGCGCATCCACCTACACATCGTTCATCATTATGATTAAAATATACAAATATATATAAAAAAGAAAATCACCAGACACACGCACACACGCACGCGGGAATATATATGTATATATATCAAAAGGGGAAGAAACACCGCCCCCACCCC